AGGTCTACCAAAACCACACTTTGTGTCTAAGAATTGATCGTGTTTCTTAAATACGTAGTCCCGTGAAAAAGCGCAACAAGCACCTAGGAACCGGTCATTAAAACCACATCAGAACGCCCCTCCTTTTTTGAAAACACGTATTTCCATGACCAAGCATTTGAGGCCTTCTTCTCCCAAGTTTACTTCGATCTACTCCGTTGCCCGATTAGATGTTTAGACCTTAAAAAGGGTTTGTTAGTGACATAAAAAAAGAAGCTTCCTGAACGTCTACCAAAGCGGACACAGTTTGTGCCCTAGAATTATTCGTGTTTCTTAATAGTACCGCGCAAAAGCCCCTGTGCAGTACCCTTGGATGCATGGCAACCCAATGACAGTAGTACACGCAGTGCACGCTTAAACGCACGCTCATCTGACCAATCAGAGCATGCCCTTTACTCCGATAACTCTCAAAACGTTTTTGTGCATTAATTGCACCTCAGCCAAAGTTTTGTCTATTCGGTAAAGTGTCTTTCTTAAACTTGGCCTTTCATGTAATAACGAAAGTGAAAATATTCGTGTTAATATTTGCTCGTGCTTTTAACAAAGAAGAGCAACCAATCGCAACCGACAACCGAAATGTTAAGTTTAACCAGTTGGTCATGGTCACGTATACTGATGGCGCTGATACGATCGATATTAAACACGTACGCTATAAGCGACAAGATCACGCGCAATGTGTGCAGTCTTGTTTACCAAGAAGATTGCATCTTTTCGTTCAGATTGGTTCTAGAAAGAGGGAATGTGGTAATCCACGAACAAACGCAGAGTGTAAACTCAAGTGCAAACAGTCTCAGAATACATTTGTTGAGAGTCGATGTTGAGACCATTTTCCATTATATGTCTTTTCACATCGTTGTAAGACTCAAGAACCTGAAAAAAAGTTAAATTTTGCCTTTTACTTTGCCTCATAACAGAAGTCAAAGAAAAAATTTCCCGCCGAATTCATGATTATCATTTTTGTAAAACCTTGAGAAATAAATAGTACTATGCAAATGTTCTGCAAAAGAAGTCTGATTTGAATGGCAACACCACAGGTTTTTAAGTCTAGAGATATAAAATTAAAAGGGCCAATGTCACATCAATCGCAGCCTTGGAGTGATAGGAGTAAATTCACTTTACTTTTTCTCCACATCTTCTGAACATTTTGGAGCCACTTTGCCCGCTCCCTCACTTGGTTGAAAGCACGCAAGCGCAGTAGTGCGTCTAGGTCCCAGTAACGTTTTCGCTTGTGATGCACGTTTACAACATAATGAAAGGTGAACAGGTGCTCAGCTGTGTGCTGCTTGACCCTTGCAGTAAGATTAGCTTATAGGATATAGTAACAAATTATCAAATCATGATCTGATCTCAGGGAGCGTAGTATGGCTCTATGCAGTGGACCCGATACCCAACGACAGGAGCGTAAAATAAGGATGATTTTCCAGCTAAAAACCGTTCAACTGAAAGGGCTTAATATTAATTTCAACTTCCTTCGATTTATCACATGCATCTTGCGCACGCTACGATTCACTAGGCACGCGCTTCAGTTTAACGTCTATTGGCAATTGCGGAGTGCAAAGCGGGTTCTTCTCGTTCTGAAACTGAAGAAGGGTCATACACTCGGAGCGCATGTTTCTTTAAAGACATCTATGACGCATTTTGATAGTTTATAATGTTATAATGTCATGCTAAAGGCTATGTTTACACCTTCCCGGATAGTTAGGTGACGATCTACTTTCATGGTCTGCGCGGCGACAGAGCCTTTCCCTTCGGTCCCTCTGGCGACGAAAGCATACAAGAATGAGCGCATAAGTGAGGACGGCCTTGACATGAGTGGCAGAGAAAACTATCCGATATGCGACGATTCGACACAGCACAGCTTAACTCCGAAAACACCGCCTTGTGAGAACGGTGTTTTCGGCGTCTCCGTGCCAGCGTAACAGATATCCGGTATAGTGTGAACATAGTCTGAGATAGTTCGATACAAGTTAAAAGTCGTTTCGATACAAGTTTCTTCAGTTTAGGTGTAAATAGTTCCACGTACTTGGCTTAAAGACTATTCACCCAAAATGTTTTTCACGTTGACCCGCAAACTATATACTTGAAGTGATCGAAATTTTTGTGCAATATCACTGCTTGAGTTCGTAACGAAACGGCTTGTATCGAACCGACCGTCCTCCGTCCACACCGCGTCAAAGAGTGGTACAGAAACCTATCCGATAGGTAATGATCGGGCACGGCGCAGCGTCGCTCCGAAATCACCGTTGTTATATGTGAACACAAGACCTATCCGATATGGTTTCCGTGCTTGCCCAAGAACTATCCGGTTTTGTAGACATGGCTTGAGATAGTTTGAGTATATCAGGCAAAACATCAAACGCAACCTGTCCTCCATGCGCACGAAGTTGTTCACCTCTTTCTATCGTTCCTGTAAAAGCCGAGTCTTTCGATGCCGTTTGGATGCATTACGAAGTTCGTCGGCAGTCAATTGTTAAGACAAATCGGAAACCGTGAAATTCTGTGTTTTCTTTCAAAACCACGCGAATCCCTTACGTTTAACTCTAAATATTCTTTGATGACAAGAACAAATACGGTAATAAACAAAGAAACAAAGTTGTTTAAAAATATTTTCTGTGACTTAAATTAGTAAAACATTTCTTTTAACATCACTTAGAATGATGATAAAAGTAGCGCGCTGAAGAAATATTCTTTGAAGACAGCGACTCAACGAATGACAACCACAATTTTATGACGGCACAAAGGCTAATTGTGTGAGTTGATTATTTCGAACCCTCAATGAATAGATAGCATGCCTCCGGGGATCACTTAATTCGCAGTAATAAAACATACGTGTCTTATTGTTTTGCCGTGCGTAATATTCCTTTCTCGAATACTCTGCGTCTGTAGGGACCGCCATTAAACGCGAAATCAATTTCAAGCACGTGCCTGGTAGGTGGACCATAGACCGCGTTAAGTGAAATAAAGCGCAGCGGATCCAGTAAAGTAGCGCGATTTTTCCGACGCTTCCGAGAGCGCTTTCACTTAATGAAAATATTTTTCTCTGTTGAGAAAACTTTTAAATAACAAAGTGGAAGAATTCGTGTCATTTTTTTTAGCGTTGCAGTTCATTATAAAGACAGGAAATCGTGCAAAGCTTTTTAGACCTTCGATTTTACTTCGATTAGAGAAAAATTCTTTATTGCAGTGCCAAAACAGGTTTCTACTTGTCTCTTTTTATTAGCTCTAATCCTTACAAAAGAGTAATGAGTTTCATGGTAGAGATTAGACCGTCTTTCACTTCTTAACTTTATCGCATGAACGTTATAACAACAAAGCGAAATACAAAACAAACAGAATAACACCTTTCGTAAAGTTTTGGGACGCGAGTGGATCAATATAGAGCTTTGTATGTTCCGTAGAAACGAAGCAAGGACAGAAAAAGTTGTACGACGCACGGTGTTTGAGACCACAACCCTCTGCAAACCACCTTGAAAAAGCCGTTTCCGAGGAGAGCTAATTGAGTGAAAAATTCACGCGCTGAGGCGGTTTCTGTTGTGTTTATTGAAGTCCAGTGACACAGCTAATTTTCCTCTTATTCCTATTCAAGTCTTAATCACTTCATTTGTATGGAGCTATTGATTGCAAATTGCTCTTTTCGCTGTTTCTTAATTTAGAGCTTTTGAAAAGACCCTGACGAAGGCAAAGCCGTATAAATTGATTCCTTTGAAAAGAGAAGTGTTTATATCAGAAGATAAGTGGGTATGTTTCACGCCTATCAAAAAACTCGAATTAGGGAACATTGTTAAAATGTGAAAGCAATACCTTTCTTGTGTACCAAGGAAAGAGTGAACCCTTCCATAGGAGAGTCACGTAATTTTCGCATTGTCCACAATTTCTTTTAAAGTATTCCAAATTAATTAAAAGAAGGGCAATCAAAGAGAATTTTTAAATACCGAGTGCGGTCACGGGAGAAAACTACCAATGCGAATGAAACGAAGAGCGAGGATAAAGGAAACACGAGTCTTTAAAGTAAAAAGTACACATTTTGATAGCATATTTACCAGCAAGCTGTTTCATTTAAGGTTCACTGTCTTAGGGATTAAACTTGTTGTAGCAATTTCACCGGCTCTCTGTGTGGGCGGGTTCTAACCTTCCCCAGGTATGAACGCAGGATTTGAACCAATTAGAAACTCTTGGATAACCGGGTTTTCTTTATGTTTGCCGCTCAAAATGTATGCAGACATGTAGACTGCAAACAAAACTGGTTAAGATTTTAGTGATCCTTGTTATGTTGTTGCTTAATCCATTGTTTTGTATGACGGCAATAAATACATGCATGCCGATTTATGAACGCGAATTAAGATTCTTCGGTTATTACACAACTGTATACACACTAGTGAACAAGGTTGTTAGACGCTCAAGATGAATGCTTTCAGAGCTCTTTACACGATAGCGCTGTTTGGTTTGACAAGTCTTAATGTACTTGCAGAGGGGAACGGAGCTTGGTGGTGAGTCAATATCTATACTTCCTGCTCTTAATAATTTTGTTAGTATAGCAAAGATTCACGAATCATTTTAAAAATTCTTGTCGTTCATTGCTGTTAACTATCCACCAATAGCTAGCACCATACAAAAGTGCTGCTGAGGATGTTTCATTTGAATCGTCGCACTATAGGTTTTCATCAACAGAAACAAAGGCTAGAAACACCTTATAAACAGTACCACAGGGAAGTACTGCTCTTTAGCTTTCACTTGAATGGTCACACCATAGAATTTCATCCACAGGCTCAGAAGAATAAACCATCTTCTACAGCATAACAGTAATGACTTACCACAGGAAAGTACTGCTCGGTAGCTTTCACTATAGGATAGGATTTCGCCGGCAGCCTGAAAAGTTGAAAATAATTGGGTGTCCATAATTAACTGTACCATGCACTGAACGAGTCAAGGAACACGAGATTTAATTTATTTTTTTAATCTACAGGAACCTCGGGGTTAGCGGCTCGTCAAAGTTACCAGACAACTATAACTTCCAACTTTCCCCTGCAAATGGGGTCAAGCCTGTTACCCCCAAACAGCAACGGCTGTGCCGAAAATACCCCGAGCTCATTCCGTACATCGGCGAAGGTGCAAGAGAGTCTATTACGCAGTGTCAGCTCCAGTTTAAAAATAGAAAGTGGAACTGCTCTGCTCATAGTCCGGAAAATGTCTTTGGAAAAATTCTGAAAATAGGTAAGACGAAATCATCTGCATCAGATATTTTTAAATCGAAATCGGTGCGCGATAAGTTACGTCAACTTTAGCTTGGTTTTCTATCTATGTTTTAAGAACATTCTCATAAAAGAGAACACATCTCCTTAACTCTTCTCTTAAAAAAAATATATTTCTATGCATGTGTATTTAAAACTAAAGCTCAGGGGCGAAGGCCAGAGGGTAAGTTAAATTTACTTTTGTATAGATCTGATTTTATCGAAACACTCAAGAAGTGGAGAAGATTATAACGAAGTCCATAGGAAGTAATAAAACGCAGTAACGTGATGTTTCATACACTGGCAAATTCTTTTCACAGAACGTAAGCTTAAAAAGACGACGAACGTTTGCTCTCGCCCACAGTAAAGTAAACAAGACACAAACCAGGCTTGGGCTAGCCTGTGAATTTAGAAAGAAACCCACGCGAAAAGAAATATTCTTGTATGACACAGCATTCTGTTATCATTGACATATATGTAGTTATTTATGGATATGCAACATTTGCGAAATTTTCGTCAAGTGAACGCTAATTCCAACGGTATTTAGTTATGGATGAAATGGTTCATTGTTGAACATACAAAGAAAAGTGAAAGGACAGAAGTTGACGGGAAGGATTCTTGAGGAATAGGCTAAAGGCAAACGCGGTCAAACGAACGCCATTATTTTTAGGGGTTATTTTTACCCTGAGATTGATCAAGGTAAAATTACTTACGGAAATTGTAATCAAGTAATAAGGTCAAAAATGATTTTCTTAATAACTTCTTCATCACCATTATTAATAAATAAACTTCAAAGGCTCGTCTCACTTCCAAGCAAAGGAGGGAGTGCAACAAATGCGATGCGAGAATAAACGGTCAAATACTGTAATGTACTTTTTTCGCTATTCCTGTGGTACTTCTTCAATGAAACACCTTACTCTATTTGCATGACGACTAAGACGTTTTTCAACAAGTTTAGTTCTATTGTTTTGTCTCAAACGCCAGAACCACGAAGCCACAAATTCAATGAAGTGCTATCTACTTCAGTTATTACTGACTTGTAATTTGAATTATTGAATTTCTTGTTCATTTGATTCGTCCAGAAGAGACTTTTTCATAAATCTTAGTTCTATGTTCTGTCCTAAAAGCCTTGCCAACGAAAGTACAGACTTGATGAACCGCAATTCACTTCACTTAGTATTTCGGATTCTATGTTTTGGACTATAAACTGCTCGTTCTAATTGATTCTCAGGCGGATTAAGTTAAATTGAGTATAGTTCTATATTCCGTTTATAGACAGCATTGGTTAAAAATCCACAAATTTGATGACATAACTCATATAACTCACTTCATTGCAATTACAGATTCTATTTCAGTAGTGGGATCACTTGTCATTCTATTTGATTCATAAAACGTAGCTTTCACCAGTTTCATTGATTTTACTCAGCATTTCAGTTGAAATTGCGTCTCAGCAGCTTTAGCTACAAACTCACACATCTTATGAACTCCTATTAACCACTTCATCCGATATTCCTTCGTACTTCTTTTTTGGCTAAACAACTCCAGTTTTTATTGATTCCTTGGAACTATTCGATCAGTGTAATTCTATAATTCATAATTACAGTGTTGTCTCTCAAATTTTTCACAAACCACGACTTGAAGAACTCTAAATAACCCATGTCATTTGCGACCCCTCCTTACATCACAAACCACTCTTTCTCTTTTTTCTGAACGTTCCTGAAAACTATCTTATCGCTAGTTGTTACTTCGTTTTGACTCAGGTAACTGTAAAATGAGGGAATGTTTTCAAAATAATCATTCGCTCCGCCAATTATTGCACTCTTTCGCGGGAGCTCGTGGCGAAGTGAAGCTGCCAGGATTCACTCCATCATTCTGTGATTTTTCATTTCGGATTCTAAGAAAGACTTACGCTTTGTTCACACGATACCGGATAGTTTTTCGCGTTGCCGACACGTAAAGCTGTCTAGTATAGTATGAACACCTATCCGATATGTGACTCCCCACTTTAGAGATCCCGTGCGCGCGGCTCAGCTTCGCTCCGTCACAGAAATCGCTCCGAAAGCACCATTCTCATGTGTAAACAGAAGCCCTATCCGATTTGATTTTAGTGCCAGCGCAAAAGCTGTCCAGTATAGTCAGTCTTCTTAGCATCATATTGACGTTGATCATGGAGCCATCTGTGCTATGGTGTCAATGAATTAAGAAAATTTACTAATCAAAGCGAGGTTCCTTAAGTGATTCTTCTTCTAATTTCTAATTATTATTTTAGCTGAGTTTCCATCAGGCTCTGCTGCAGGCCTTACGCACGCCTTACACTTGACTTGGCACCTCAAGCCTGACTCGCTGTGAACGTATTAAAAACCTTACAAACACCTCAAACCTTAAATTTAACACTCCCAAACGGGTGGCTAAGGTCAAAATTCACCATGATTTTTTACTTTGTGAAATGATAAAAACAAATAGTACCTTACGAAAATGCTGTTCAAGAGAATTCATTTTAATGGTAACACGATAGGATTTCTTCCACAGACACAAAAGTTAGAGCCACCATGTGCACCAAAATAAACAGCACCACAGGAAAGTACTGCTCAGTAGCTGTCGTTTGAATGGTCACACCAAAGGATACTCAAAAGTTAGAACTACCTTAAAGTTTCAGAGCATTTATAAACAGTACCACAGGAAAGTACTATACTCACTAGCTTTCATTTGAATGATCACACCAAAACACAGACTCAAAAATTACAACCACTCTACAAGCCAGAGTCTCCATCATTCACCCTTGGAATGAAAAGGTTAAACACATCTCAGTCTTATTTACACGCATGGTTCTGTTAAAGCTTGCAGGGAGACAGCTTTTGCCTACTCGATAACAGCAGCAGGAGTGTCGCATGCTATAGCGAGAGCTTGTAGCGAAGGAAAACTATCGTCTTGCGGATGTGACAAAAGATACAGAGGAGTCAGCAACGCAGGATGGCAGTGGGGAGGATGTAGTGACAACATTCATTTCGCGGATCAGTTTTCTAGGAAATTTGTCGACGCTGGTGAAAAGGGCCGAGATTTTCGCACAGTGGTGAATTTGCACAACAACGAAGCTGGCAGAACGGTGAGTGTGTCTGAAGGTTACATTTATACAAGTTACAAGGGCAAAAACTGAAAAGAATAAATTAGTTCCGTCTCTCTACTATCAAAATACAAATTTTTCCGTTTCATTTCGGATTCGAAATGTTAGAACCACCGTACAAGACTGACAAGACTTAACAAGTCTTTCTGGGTGTAAAAGATTTCATAGCCGATCAAGAATTACTTTCCCATTACTATGCCACTATTATTCTGCAGTGTACAAGGTGGCTAGACAGTTAAACTATCTCGAGTCCGTGGCGGTATGGCCAATGCTTAGCTTACTTTACTCTAGTCATTGGCGCTGTTTATTCTGCAAAGAAAAATTTCGAACTTTTGCATCTCGTTTAGTAAAATTTAGTTTACCATTCAGATAAACGTGCAGTATTGCGCGGTTTATGAGACAAGGAGGGTCTTTCTGCCGTTAGTATCTTTTTAAGTAAAATAATTAGGGAACGGAAATCGAAGATTTCCATCAGTACTGAAACTGAGATTACACGAGGTAAAGAAACTGACTAGGTCACTCGGAGTAGCCTCGGGCGTATTTTTTTTTCTTCAGCCATAATTATGAAGAATTACTTCCGACCGACCAAAAAACCGTCATAAAAGTAATCTTAATGCGTCAAAGCGGCCGTCTGCGCGCAATTGTAGTGGTAAGAAAAATTTCATCATCAGCTACGTGACTCAGTTTCACAGTTATTTTACGCGACTTGGACTCAACGAATAGACGGCAGCACTTAATAGAAAGAAATGACGGCTAATTGTTAGCGTATATTTTGCTGATCAATAAACTTCAAGTTTGTAAACTGCTCAACCAAGAAGATAGAACTTGAGCTTATTGAGTTTTTATCCATACCTTCTAACAAATAAGGTTATTGCTTAATACTTCAATCATAGGATTCTCCTTTCGAAACTGACACAAAAAGATTATTACACAATCACGTGTGGCAACCGCTTTTTGAGAGTCTTCTTAAGAATATTGCGAAAAAAAAAATGTGAGTAGAATATTAATCCTACTATTCCCGTCTGTGGCGGCATTCTTTTGACAAACTGTTTCAATTTTATGAATAACAACAATAAAACGTTTTTCCTTGTAATAGCCGAAACTTGTGGTAAACGGTCACAAGGCGGTTTCCCACGAAGCTACTTATTCTAACTGTGGCAAATTTGGGTGTACAGTCATTGTTAGTATTAAAAATAAAACCGGGGCTTTGCTGTTGTGATTAGTTTCAATTTCATGGCTCATCAATCTTGACTCTCTGTCTCTGTCTGAGTCATCTCGTTTAAACTTTCCACTGCCATAGCCAATTATAGAGACGTGACGAAGTTGCAAGTTTAATTTGGAGACTGCGAAGGCAAAAATGAAAATTTCAAGCCAAGGAAACGTAGCACTGCCCGCGAGAAAACAAGAAAAAAGCCTCTTTTGCCCTCATGTTACACCATCTTATCCGCAGGGCAAAATGATAATTTCTATACCCAATTATGAATAAATTCTCCCCATCGCATTTATATATACGGTCGTTTCGATACAAGTGGTTTCGAGACAAATATTCACCCAAAATGTTTTTCACATATATATCGTATTTCCTCGAATAATAGCCGGGCGCGATTATTTGTTTTTTCGCACTAAAAGGGGGCGATTATTCGAGGGAAGGCGATTATTCGAGAGAGACGATTATTTCAGGTATTGTTCACTGGAGGTCGCGCCCTAAATATTTTGTTCTATTTTCCCATCAAATCAAAAAATAATCACATCAAAGAAACGGAACATAGGCTTTTAAGTGTTCCAAATTTGGTCCCTTGATTAATTTCCATTGTCAATATTCTCTGTGTCGTCACTGATCAGTTTTGCTGGATCAAACTCCACTTCAGACTCATCCTCCAGATTTACCGCTATGGGTATCGATAGCGGGTTACCTATAGTAGTGGGAGGGCGATTATTCGAGGGAGGTGATTATTTTGAATATTTTCGTCAAAGGCGGGCGATTATTCGAGGGAGGGGATTAATCGAGGGACGGCTATTATTCGAGGAAATACGGTACTTGAAGTGATCGAAATTTTTGTGCAATATCACTGCTTGAGTTCGTATCGAGACGACCGAGCTCCTGTAGCACAAGTCTAAGTTGAGCAGTAGTCTTTCTTGAGAAGACGCCTTGTACCAATCAAGTGATGATGATTAGCCTCTATTGTCGGTGTTCAAACGAAAACATCAAATTCTAAAATTTAAAATCGAAGGCCGCCTTTTAAAGTTTCACATACCCATCAGACAACGAAATGGGGCTCTCCGATTTGAAAGTAGAGCAATTTTTAATTGCCTGATGTTCACGCCTCGCGACATAAAAACGGCGCTCGAGAGAGCTGTCGAGCGCACAAAATGGAGACTTAGACAATATTTAAATACCCTGACACCGCAAATTCTCAGCTTGGCTACAGACATCCATTGGCTTTGATAGTAGTTTTTGATAGCCAAACAATGAAAGTTTCACTGAGTAGTTTGCCTTTACTGACACGAAATTGCTTTTCTTTTTTTTTTAGTCGGTGAGACAAAACATGGTACGGGAGTGTAAATGTCACGGCGTATCGGAGGCTTGCACTGTACAGACCTGCTGGAAACGCTTACCGAATTTCAGACGCATCGGAGACGTGCTCAAAGAGAAATTCGACAGCGCGTCAATGGTGGAATTTGAGCAAAACAACAACCGCAACGGTCATAGCTCTCGAAAAGGAAAACCTGCATTCCGTCCAAAAAACAAACTGCACAAGGCACCCACAATTGCTGACTTGGTCTACTATGAAGACTCTCCAGACTTTTGTCGTCGCAATCCCGAGACGGGTTCTCTCGGGACGAAAGGACGCCTGTGTAACAACACGTCCGAGGGGACTGACGGATGTAATTTGATGTGCTGTTACAGAGGGTATACAACAAGTGAGAGTGAAATGGAAGAAATGTGTAACTGTCGCTTTCATTGGTGTTGTAAGGTAAAATGTGAAAACTGCCGATCGAGACAAATCATCCATAGGTGTAATTAACGGTGATGAGAAAATTAATACGAAGGAAACACTTGTTTAAAGGGACATAGTCAGATGACGCGCATGCGCATTAGATTCCATTTCTTAGCTGATTTGCAGATCACAAGATACGCGATTCATACTGTTTTTAACCAAATCTGATAAAATGATATTATAGGATGAGTAAAGGAATACGCAGGAACAGGTTTTCAGTAAAAGATCGAAGATCGAATGAAACATTAGGCAACATTAAAGATCTATCCCACGCGTAACTTTGATTTTGGTTTAAGGTAAACACTTTTTAAAGTGGCAAAACTATAGTTTCGAACTCAATGTGGTCCCAAGGCTGACCGTGTCCCTTTAAGGGAAGAGAATAGCCCGGCTTTGCAGAATTGAAAAGTAATATTTACTGACTTCAATAGTATATTTTGGGACTGGTGTGAATAGATTGTTTAGAGTTATATGATGAAGATTCGTTCGGACTATTAGGATGTAACAATAAATTTAGCAAATATGCAAAGTCGTTAAAAAATCTTGACGGTATTCTTTTCCACTGTGGTTCATGAGCACCTGTATTCTGCGTCCTTTAGCTATACATTGGTGCGGCTCCCGGGGGGTGGACTCCTCATATGAAAGGGGTGCGAATGCTCGTCGTCTCGCTTAGGGTGTAAACTTCGGATTTTGGTCTCACTTAGGGTGTTCCGGGCAACACGTCATCATATTTAGCCGTAAAGGTCTTGTTTAGGGTTGCACGCGAAAAAATATAAATATATATATATATATTGTCTGTGTTTTAACATGGTCTCTTTTCGGGGTCAAAAAAGGCTTGGGCCACGCCCTGATCGGTCTCCTTTAGGGGTTTAATTCAAAATTTCCGAAGAGCATCCCCACCCCCTTCATATGCAGAGTGCCCCCCCCCCGGGCCATGAGCACCTATATTCTTCCTTTGGCTATACATTGGTGCGGCCATTGATTGCTTTGTTGCTTAATTTATTGTTATGCTTTAGAATTATTGTAGACTTTTTCCCTTTATTTGTAGCAATACCTCAGATGTGTTCTCCTTTTAAATTGGGGGTTCTTTTACATTAGCTTTGAAACAGATGTGAATAGATTGTTTTTAAATTAATGTTAGATTTTTCCCAGCTACTCTTTGCAGTGGCAGCTCTAAAGTACCGTAAAATTCCGAAAATAAGCCCCGGGGCTTATATTAATCAAAGGCCCTTTTAGAGGGGCTTATTTTTGGAGGGGCTTATATTCGGAGGGGCTTATCTACGGGGGAAATTTGCGTCTCAAACTCGATAGAGCTAGCCTTATGGTTGGAAGTAAATTTACCATCTTTTCTTTGTTCTACTTTGTATTTGAGGGCAATTTCCAAGTACAAGCCCCTGGGGGGGCTTATATTTGGAGGGGCGATTTAACGGAGGGTTTTTTGCGTTACCGGTTTGGGGGGCTTATATTCGGAGGGGCTTATACATGGAGGGGCTTATTTTCGGAATTTTACGGTATTTCCAAATAATAGGATTCTGTGAATATGGTCATCTTTTGTAGTAACACTGTTCAGTTTTATGAACTTTGGATATAGATAGGACAAATTTTAACAAGTTTAGTGTAAAATGTAACCTTATATACGGTAGAGATCAAAAAGTGTCTTAAGCTTATCTGTCGGCTAGATGTAGATATACATAGAATAAACAGAAAATTATTTCGAACTCATATTTCTCTCAAAAGTTAAGGTATTAACATATCTTTGCCCGGAAGCGTTTCCACAGCTTGGGGTAAACAGTAATTTTCAGGGAGTTATAATAACTCCTCTAGTGGGGCTAATTTAACTCCTTACACTGGAGTTATTTTTTGAGGAGTTATTTTAACTCCAAAAAGGAGTTTAAAGAACTCTTTTTCAGGAGTAAAAGTGACTCCAGATACTGAGGAGTTAAAATAACCCCAAAAAAGGAGTTCCCTAGTATCCTGTACCTAAAAGTTTTACTCCACTTTCAGAGTTAAATAATTAACTCCAAAAAGAGTAAAAACAACCCATGTAAGGAGTAAAAGTAACCTATTTCGGTGTTATTTTAACTCCAGACTGGGAGTAAAAAGAACTCTTTTTCAGGAATAAAAATGACTCCAAATTCGGAATTAAATTATGAGTTCAGTAAAATAACCCCCAAAAAGGGGTTATCCTGTGCGTAAAAGTTTCACTCCATTTTTGGAGTTATAATAACTCCCTAAAAATTACAGTGTAGGTGGACAGTGGATTTTGACAAATTTGACACTATTGGTTTAGCTAAAACAGTCGAAACTCTCATTAGAGAGGCTGTGTCGCCGCTGTCTTGCTCATTTTTTTTAATAGGGACTTAAAGATCCAACGGCGCGCCCGCAGAGAAAAAAAACTAAACAAGAACGCGTGTGAAAAAATTATCGAAACGCCGAGAGTGTTTTGATCAATGCTGCTTACTGATCGACGTGACTCAGTGCGTAGAATCTTGCGTATCCTGGTTTTATTTCACCTATTGTATATTTATGTTTCATATGTGAAATTCTTTAATATGACTCTGGATATCTCAAAGAGCTACACAAAGATCAAGGCTAAAATGACCGCCAAAATACAGAGTAGGGGCAGCTGTAGTGTCTACTATTACTGGTTTTAAATAGTTGGTCGATGCGAGCTTTTTCTCACGCGATTTTTAACTCCCCCCCGGGGGGGGGTACTTCCTAGTAATAGGCTTTTGGGGATGTGCCGCATGGGGGGTGGTGGGGAGTCGCATTTTCACAGCTGAATAAACTATCATGATAATGAGGTTGCATGTTCATTAGAATTTTCGGACTTTGGGGGATCACAAAATTCAGTCAGGTAGGGATTAAAAAATGGGAAGATTTTTACTTCATTAAGTTTAACCAATGTGTCAATTCATTTCACGATGACCTAGTTAAAAGGCTTTATAAAGTAGATGCATAAACAGAAAGATACTAAGTTGGGATCGCGTAAATTACATTTTCTTAAGAGTGACTAAGATAGGCTCTACATTTGGCCACGGGATAAACTATAAAGGGGTAGGGGTTCTGAGAGGCCATCGGCACATACCCAGCAGAAATTAACCCAAGCACCCCCGCCTCAGTGGAGATCGATCTGTCTCAAAAGCTATTGAATATTTATTAGCTGAGCGGAGGCAGTTTGTATGAAAAGGTAATTCTTCTGTTTAATTATCCATCAACCTATGCAGTTAATTTGTACTGAGATTCTTAGGCCCAGTTCAGACGCAGAACTTTTCGTTAGCCGAACCTAATTCGAATTAGACCAGCTGAATTGATTCAGAAGCCGATCTTAATTGCTACTGAACTACGTTCAAAAGGCGAAAAATGCTCATTTTGGTCAAACTGGTTACAAAATACGTTATAATAATTTATGCATTAGGTTTGGTAGATGAAAAGTTCGGCGTCTGAATCAAAGCCGTTCCAAAGGCGAAATTCCCGGCCGGGCTAGGCGAAAAGAACGGCTGAGCCGTTCCAAATTGAAACAGGCGTTCCTAATTGATTCAGACGCCGAACTTTTCATGTACTTAATTCAATGTATTAGGTTCGGCGTCTGAACCGGGCCTTATTTGTACCCAAATAGCGCCTATTCATTCATAATTTCGACAAATATTAATAAGTCTAACAACTTTCGTATAATAACCGACAACCACACAGCCTGAATCTGATCCGTATCTATTCCAGGTTCTTTTGTTTTGGATTTCATGTTGAAGGACCCAAAGTTCATGATATCTCAGGAATTAAGATTAACGGAATCTGTACCACATTAGTTCAGACCTCTGAAAGAGGATATAAATCGTGCCTGCACACAAGGTGGTATAAATGCAGACTAAAAAAAATAACAATAACTGAGAAACAAAATTAAGTGGCTTCGGCCAGAATTGAACTGGCGACCTTCTGCGTGTAAAGCAGACGTGATAACCACTACACTACGAAACCAACCATGTTAAAGAGCAAATCAGAATAGTTTTTATACAAGTCTTGCAAAACATTCTAAAATTTATCGGCGAATACAGAAAACAGCGCAAATCACCGTAGTGACTGCCTTGATCTAGGTAATGCTTTTGATTGGTCGTTCCGCGACGGAAATTTGCTTCAAACAATCAGAGGCTAGTGACACGTCATCAGTATGGAATAATTGCAGTCGCTGCTCAGACATCATTTTGTGGGGACCAGTGATGGCGACGCAAAATAGCTACTGTTTTCTCAAGATATCACTTCAGCTTCTCAACGTTTTTAAAGACTATTTTGCCCATTATTTCCGAGAACTACCCTAAACCTAAACATGTCAAGATGCACTTTGACGCGCTCAATCCACGGAAACGGGCCCGAGAACGGGACTATGAAACTGAGGCCAACTAAAACGTCACGATGCATTTGCAAACGTGATTTCGATTTACATACTTGACACATTTTGATCAGAGCTAATCAGGCGACGCTGGCGACAGATCTTTGAACGTCCAATAAACAGCTCATAGCAGGTGTATTTCCCGGGGGGGGGTACTTCCTAGAAATAGGCTAAAGGGGATGTGCCGTTACATGGGGTCGCATTTTCAAAACTGGATTAACTATGATGGTGCTACATTTTCATTAGACTTACTTTGATGGGATCGCACATTTTCGGGATTTGGGGGATCAAAATGTTCAGATAGGTAGGACTTTAAAAATGGGAAGATTTTTACTTGATTAAGTTTCACCAATGTCTCAGTTCATTTCACGATGACCTAGTTAAAAGGCTTTATAAGGTAGATGAGTCCGAAAGTTAAATTCGCAAAATTATCAAAAGTGACAAAAATTTGGGCTAAATAGACTATAATGGGCTTTTTGACAGGCAAATTGCAATCAAAACAAAACTTTGGAAAAGCTTTTAGGCAAATATTACGATCCCAAAATCAGACTTAGCATATTGTTTGCTTTATAGACGTCTTCAGCTCATGGTTCAAAGTATTCACAGAAGGGCAGCGATAGCTTTGTTTATTTCCCTGTTCCCCTTA